ATTTATTTTTTTTCAAAATTGGTGAGAAATTTTATTTGAATACATCATTGTATGAAATTTATAAGAACATATAATCTATGAATTACCGGTATTAACCCCAATGGCATGAATGGAATTTAATTAAATTATTAAATCATTTATAATTCATGATTGCGCAAAAACAGTTCAAATTCATGAAACTTACATATTCTAACAAAACAACATAAAAAAACATAAATATTACTCTGAAAAGTGTTCAAACAAAATAAATTCATTTTACTTGCATAAACTCTCACTTTTTTTTTTTTAATTATCAGTTTTTCATGCTGCAGTGCTTTAACAATAAACGTACATATTCATGTTCATCAACAAAATTCAGTCCAAAAGTGTGTGATACATGGAGAAAAGGTGAAATATATTTTACAGATGAGTTTTTTACACTAATATAACTTCATAGATAATTTTACAAAACGTACAGTCATGGCCAAAAGTTTTGGCAGTGACTTCAATTTTGTGTTTTGCAAAGTTTGCTGCTTAAGCTGTTTTGGTGTTCATTCACATTGTTTCTAGGTTATTGTGTAGAGTAATCAGATGCATTTAAAATAATTGCTAAAAGCTTCATTGGCCAAAAAATTAACTTTTCACAAAAAAGCTAATTTCACTGTTTTTTGATCCTGACAAAAAAATGAGCAGCTAACATTAATTTAATAATCATATCAGCAGCACATGTGAAAGTGTGAATGAGTACTAGTCAGGTGAAATCACTATCATACTAATTAGATTGTAAGAGCAGACTGATCTGCTTTGCATCAAAATGGCCTCACATGCGAGGAAATTGCTACAAAGAATATTGCACCTGAAAGAACCATTTACCGGATCATCAAGAACTTCAAGGAGAGAGGTTTGACTGCAGTGAAGAAGTCTTCAGGACGTCCCAGAGTGTCCAGCAAGCGCCAGGACCATCTCCTCATGAGGAATCGTGTCACCAGCAGTGCAGAGCTTGCTCAGGAATGGCAGAAGACTGGTGTGAGAGCATCTGCACGCACAGTGAGGCCAAGACTTTTGGACAACGGCCTGGTGTCAAGAAGGGCAGCAAAGAAGCCACTTCTCTCCAAGAAAAACCTCAAGGACAGACTGAAATTCTGCAGGAAGTAGAAGGATTGGACAGCAGAAGACTGGTGCACAGTTATTTTCTCTGATGAAGCTCCCTTCCGACTGTTTGGGACACCTGGAGAATCGATTGTTCGGAGAAGAAAAGCTGAACGCTACCATGAGTCCTGTGTTGTGCCAACAGTGAAGCATCCTGAGACCATCCATGTGTGGGGTTGCTTTTCAACCGAGGGAGTGGGCTCTCTCATAATTCTGCCCAAAAACACTGCCATGAATAAAGAATGGTATCAAAACGTCCTGCAAGAGCGAATTCTTCCAACAATCCATGAGCTGCCTGAGTGCTGCCTTTGATTTGGTTGACCATGAGGTGCTGTTGACACGTTTGGAGATATCTGTGGGCCTTCGTGGCACAGTCTTGCAGTGGTTTCGTTCTTATTTAACCAACAGATGTTTTAGTGTTTGTATTGGTCATCAGACCTCCTCTAGTATACCTCTTAATTGCGGAGTTCCACAGGGATCAATCCTTGGCCCGGTTTTGTTTACCCTGTACATGCTACATCTGGCTTCCATTTTTAACAAATATAAAGTATCCTTCCATCTATATGCTGATGATACTCAGATCTATTTTCCTTTAAACCATAATAAAAAAAAATGGCTTACAACCATTGTTGGTCTGTTTAAAAGAACTTAAAGCTTTGGCTCTCAAGTAATTTTCTAAATTTAAATGAAAATAAAACCGAAATAATTATATTTGGGCATAAGGAAAATTGTGTGTTAGATGTTGACTGTGGCTATATGTAACTCAGTGCGCTAGAAATCTGGGCGTTCTGTTTGATCATAATTTAAAATTTGACAAAAAGATCAGTGCTGTTGTAAAATCATACTTTTTCACCTCTGTAAACTCATTGTATTGTCTTCATGTTTTTTAGTGAACTAGTTAGTAGTTTGAGTGCTGACCACTGGAGGTTTGTACCTCTGGATCTAAACATTTATGTTAAACATGATTGATTATGGATTGAGATGTTTTTTGAGGTGTGTTAAAGTATTTTATGCTTAAACGTCTGGCCTGTTGTTTTCCTAGCCTTGACCTCATGACCCCCTGTGAGATCTCAGCTCATCCATAGCAGCACAACGGAAACTCAAAAGAATGATCCTGACCCCCGTGTCCTCTTGACCTTTGACCCCACCTTCTGAGGTCACTGACAGTGACCCCACGCCCGTGTCTCATGTTTATGAGCCGAATGAATCTGTGGAACATGACAGCGTTTAGTGTTTTTCTGTTTCTCCCTGGTGTCGTCGTTTGAAGGCCTGAATGTGTTCGCTGTGTAATTCACTAATGGCTGCTGTCTGTGTCTGTTTTTCCAGTAACTTCTCCCACTCCAGGAGTCGTTTCAGTATGCCGGGACACACGTATCAGTGTGGAGAAATGTAGCATTGCATCAGTGTCTCAGCAATGGATTCTCTGCAGTGAATGGGTGCCGTCAGAATGAGAGTCCAAACAGCTGATAAAAACATCACAATAATCCACAAGTA